AGTGTTTCCTTTCATTTTTTATTTTTCTCTCAATCCAATAATTATTTAGGAGAGAATTCTTAGATTTCAAAGTACTTGGGCATTTAAAGATGTTTTTCAATAATTTCTGGTTGTGTAATATGGTAAGGAGATGGACAACTTCTGCTTTGTTAACTTACTGGGATTGTCATAGGGGTCTAAAATTCTGTGATGAATTTGTGATTCAATGTCACTTGTAGAACAGGTATATTCCCTAGAGTTCAGAAACCAAATTCAGTGTAAATTACTCCTTCCTATCATATTAATTATATTTTTCAACTTTTCTGCTTTGGTTTGTTTTCCATATCTAAGAAGGAACATCTCCAGAGACCCTTCTGTTTCTTCAGAAGGCTCTCTGCTCACTTCCCTTACCAGCCCCACTCAGAGTGCTCTCTTTCCAACTCCCCAGAGTCTTGGTGGTGGGGAGTCAAATGATTCTTGGTTGGCCAGGGAGATTTGGTGGGGTGAACACTTCTAGTCATTTCCCTCCATATCCTACTTCAAGCCTTGGCCTTACCTCATGTAGGCTTCTGAATGTATTATTCAGCCTACAACTTGCATTCTTTGGGATTAAAAATTAAACTTTCTTTACTACCTTATGTGTCTTTCACTTGGGGTTCTGATGGCTTAAATCACTTATGAAACATTCATAGGAGGTGCTGCTTTTTATTCTGGGAAGATCTTTCTGTCACATCTGTTGAACTATTCTATACAATTTAAAAGTTCTCTTTGACAAAAACAGAGGAACTAACAATTGATCTGTTCTTGCACTTATTCATTTGTAACCACATCACATCTTCCATGGGCAACGTATGTCTCTGGGAGTAGAAATTTTAGTAGAGAGAAATATATAGCTCTAAGAATCAATATGTTAATGAGTATACTTCTTCTCAAAAAAAAAGGAAGAGAGAAAAATATGCCACACTGGCCCAGTACCATATTTATTATCTTTTGCAGTTAAAATGTATTCGCAAATGAATGCTTATAGAGCACTCTTACTGAGCAAAAAGTAAGTCTTTCAAAACCACACACTCCATGAAATACGTGCATTATGCAATGGTATCTTAAACTTCATTTAAAGGATATATTTGAGGCCGGGTACAGTGGCTCAAGTCTGTAATCCCAACACTTTGGGAGATCAAGGCAAGATGATTGCCTGAGCCCAGGGGTTCGAGACCAACATGGGCAACTTGGCGAGACCTTGTCTCTACAATAAAGCAAAAAATTAGCCAGGAATGGTCATGCACTCCTGTAGTCCCAGCTACTTGGAAGGCGGAGGCAGAAGGACCACCTGAGCCCAGCGGTCGAGGCTGGGTGGTCGTAGGCGTGGCACTGCACTTCAGCCTGGGCGACAGTTGGAGTTGAGACTCCAACTCAATAAATAAATACATAAATAAAGGATATGTTTGCATGGCAACAAAGCATCCAAAACCACATAATTGGAAGATTCTTAGAAATGCACCTATTAACACTCAAAAGAAAATTTATTTTTATCGTTCTTCCACATCTTTCTATAATTCCTTTGCTCTTTGTTCTTTCCAAAAATTTGAGCACTCTGGTTTCACTCATAAGTAGAGTTAGTAAATGACAAAGTCATCTCCCTTTGAAACCACAGAGTATTGAAATACATTATTCTTTTTTCTACTCTTTTGCTTAAACATTTCATTTATAATTTATTTTTTGAGTCATAGTCTCACTCTGTTGCCCAGGTTGGAGTGCAGTGGCATGCTCATGGTCACCACAGCCTTGACCTGCTGGACTCAAGTGACCCTTCCACCTCAGCCTTCCAAGTAGTTGAAACTACAGGCATGAATCACCACACCTGGCTAACTTTTTGATTTACTGTAGAGATGAAGTCTGGCTAAGTTGCTTAGGCTGGTTTCAAACCCCTGGACTCAGGTAATCCTTTCACCTCTGCCTCTCAAAGTGTTGGGATTACAGGCATGAGCCACCAAGCCTGGTTCATTTTTAATTCTTTTCACATCTTTATTTGCACTAGCCACATTTCTCTTTTTAAATTTTATTTTAGAGTTGTGGGGTACATGTGAGGATTTGCTCCAGAAGTCAATTGTGCATAGATGAGGTTTGGGCTTCTAGCAAGCGCGCTCTCCCCCCCGGTACCAGATATGGTACCCAGTGGGTGAATGTGTGCCCCTTATTTCCCCTCCTTCCCCCTCTCTGCTAGTAATGCCCATCATCAGTTGTTCTCGCCTTTGTGCTCACATGCCCAGTGTTTAAGGCCTGCTTATGAATGAGAACATGTGGTATTCAGTTTTTTAAAAAACATATCAATTTTTAGATACAGCTTCTTAAAATGAAGCCACTATTTTGGGGGACAATATGTTGAGTTATAATAATGTCATTTAAATTTGGTTCCTGTGTCATTTTCTTCTTCAACTGCTATCTGAAGAATATCAAGAGAAGTGGATATGCTTTTTAAAAAACGGGCTTAGTTCACAAATTTTCCCAATGGCTAGAGATTATTTAATGACAAAAGCTTTGATTTGAGTGTATACATACCTATCTAGAATCCCTATAGGTTCATCTAAGTTCTATTTTGACAACCATAAAGTTTTATCTTTGTGGGCATCATTTTTCTCATTTTTAAAATTAAATATTTAGATTAAACAAACTCTGAGGGCCTTGCTGGTATTAAATTCTACAAGTTGACTGGTTATATTCCTTTAGGTAGGTCACAGTCATAATAGAAAAATCTGTCGAACTGTTTCAATCACTATACAGGACCTGTTCTTCTGAACAACAGAGTTATTTTATTTTTTCCATCAATAATCTTGAAGAAAATTTGGTTAAGACCTTGTAGGCAGGTCAGAATGTAGATACCTCTGTGGTCAACCATGAGAAGAGTCTCATTGGCTGTCTCTGAACCATTAAGGTCAAGGAAAAAGCTGAAAATTTGCTCTAAAAAACTTTGTACTTGAGTTATGTTTTTAAGTCTCCAAGCTTCTTTTATCATTCATATCCTTGATTTTAATCTTCTCAAAGTTTAAAGGAATAGGTAGGACATCTTATTGAAGTAGGAACTGAAGGATCCAAATAAAGGATTGCCCAAGGTGAGAGTCAGTCATCTAATGACAAAACCAACAGAAGAGCTTAGATGAGTTAACTCCAATTCCATTCTGGCTACAAAACATTTTGCCCATCTGGTTTACAAAATTAAGTCTTTCAATGACAGTTTAATGATTTTATTTTCTGCTAGCTTTTCAAAACAAGTCAGAGGAGTTTATGCAACTCCTTATTCAAATTCATTTACAGTGCTCTGCAAAGCCGAAGAGAAGATATCACTCCCGATGCTTTGATACCTCTTTAGAGCCATTAGAATCACCATAAAGGATTTAATAGGAAGGTATCTGAATTCTCCTGAAAATTAAAGTTACATCCTTGTCTCTCTGAACAAATCATTGTGCCTGGCTTCATGCTTTAGTCCTGCGACTGGAAAACCGGATATGGAATTGGGAGATTCATGAGAACTTTACTCCTGCATCTCTGTTCTTATCAGGGGTCAGTACAATGGGATCTCCCACATTCAAATAATTGGGAGATTCATGAGAACTTCACTCCTGCATCTCTGTTCTTATCAGGGGTCAGTACAATGGGATCTCCCACATTCAAATACCAGTTCCACTACTTGTGAGACATGTAACTGTGAGCGAGTAACTTAACTTCTCTGGGCATCATTTTCCTGAGATTAAACTAGAAATAATAATGGTTGTTGCAAGGAACCAACAAATTAACTCATATAAAATTCTTCCCATATCTAGCAGGCAGTAAGCAGGTAGTAATCATTATCTACTTAATTTGTTACGCTATTTTAAAGTCTTAAAAGAGTAAGCACTAGCTGTGAGCATTTTTTATTGTTCTAAAAATTTAATTTTCATTTACATAAAAATATTTAAAATTGCTCCATAGTGTAAAACTTTAATGTGCTTTATGAGAGACTTTAGAAAACTAAATTGAATATACCCATTTGCCTCACGATCTGAACTAAAAATTTCTGGATTTAAAAAATACATATTACCATAGTGCTATGGTCAATGTACTTCTTCAATTAAGGTCAGATCTTATGCTAAAGTTCTGTTACATCTGTCTAAATGTAAGGAGAAGAGTGCAGGAGATTATATCATTTTTTCCTGCATACATTGACTTAACTTACGCAAACAAACAAAATTGTACATGCCTCTCTCATTTATGTAAAATGATTGTGCCCAACAAAAAAAGTTTTGTTTGTCTTGCTCAAAACTTTAATCTGCAGTTTAACCAATAATTAAGCAAAAGAAATACCAGACGTAGCAAACAAAAACTGCCTGTCTCTGTTTCAAATATTCCCTTTATTACAACCATTACCCACACTTAAAGTCAAAGAATTTTGGAAGAGAGCAAGTAGGACAAATGAAGAAAAAACCCTAACCTCTAAAAACCAAGAGTTATTCAATATTTTAACTTAACTTTCTGCCACTGACTAGCTGGGTCATGAGGGAAAACTTTCTTAATTTCTCTGGGTTGAGGTTCTTTCACATATAAAATTGTCCTAGATAATCTCTGAAATCTTTATTCTATTCATAAATCCTATTAACCTTACTAATTTACCCACCGTTTAGTTACTAGATCTCAGTTTTAATAGCCTGAAGTTGAGTGTCATTATGAGTTTCTAGTCTAGCTTTTCGTTTTGTCCTTTACCGGTTCCCTTGCAATCTCCTGTTTCACCATCTACGTATAAGTTTTGGGCAGATTATTCTCAAACTCTTTCCTGCATCAGGACCACTGGGGGTGTGTTAAAACCCAGATTGCTGAGCCTAACCCCAGAGGATTGGTTTCAGTAGGTCTAGGATGGTTACACACTGGCATTGCTAACAAGATCTCAGTGATCTGGATACTGCCAGCCTGACAACAGTTTGAAGACCACCAATCTGCAAAATATAAAAATGTTGGTGAACATCTAAGGGCAACTGAGTAGTACAAGTTACCTCAATATAATTCTGCGAACAGGCGCTCTGGCCTTCCAGCTCCACGTAGGTGAAGTTGACTTGTATCTGTTCTCCCTGAGGCTGCTTAATAATATAGATGCATTGCCTGGGGTGGACAAAAGGCCCAGACAACTCAGGAAGAAGGAGTTCACCCTCTGGGTCTGTGTAGTTCCCACCACAATGGAGATCCGCTAAGGAGAACAAGGAAAAGGAGGGGACGGTCATGTGGATGGCATTTCTCTGGCTCCCAGGCATTGGATTCAATTTTTTAAAATATATAGACACTCTCATATTCACTTCATTCAAACACTGTACAGGCTTGTGCCTCTAATTATAAGATTTTCAGGTTGACGAGTTTGTGGGATGTCCCAGTAGTGCTTAAAGAAATAGATGTAGAGATGTGCAATCAAACTTCTGATCCACCATTCTCTTCCATAAATTGCTTTTAAAATACATTAATTAGCGCTCTGCTTCAGTCAAAAAGTAAATTAAGACAGTTTATAAAAAATGTGACAAAATAAAATATATAAGTGCACACAGGAGGAAGATTAAAGGAAAAATGAATACAGAATATAGTAAGCTGCAGTCAGGAGGATGTTGATGCACAGAAAACAGCTGTAAGAGCCACAAGAAGAAAAGGAGGTTGGCTGCAGATCCAGCCTAAAGTCAGTCAATGGAGAAAAGGGGACCAGTGAAGTACTCCTTGTTACTTTTTCTGATTCTGAAACTTAAAAGGTATCTTTGTTGTGAATTCTCATTAAGGGCACAATGATGGCTGTCATGAGCAAAATCCTCCACGTACTTAAAATAGAATTCAGGTCGGACTTGGTGGCTCAGTCTGTAATCCCAGCACTTTGGGAGACTGAGACAAGTGGATTGCCTGAGCCTGCGGGTCAGACCCAGGCAACTTGGCAAGACCTCATCTCTACAATAAATCAAAAATTAACCAGGTGTGGTAGCGGGCGCCTGTAGTTCCGACTACTTGGAAGACTGAGGTGGAAGGATCATCCAAGCCCAGCAAATTGATGCTGGGGTGGCCGTGAGCATGCCCCTGCATTCCAGCCTGGGCAACGGAATGAGAGTCCAACTCAAAAAGAGAAAAGAAAAGAAAAGAAATCATAGTGCATTTTGGTAGGTGGCTCACACCTGTAATCCTAGCACTTTGGGAGGCCAGCGCGGGCAGAGTGCTTGAGCCCAGGAGTCCAGGACCAGACTGGGAAACAGCAAAACCTCGTCTTAGCAACAACAATAATCACAGAAGCATTTAATTTGTTTCGTTGCTTGCTTGTTTGTTTTAGGGCATCAGTGCAAGTGAAGGCATAATGACTAATAGGATAATTCACTGGACCAGACACTGTGACCCTAGAAGCCAGCTCCTGTGCAGTTGAACTTGATGCAAGAATAAATCCAGATAGATGGCATTGCTCACATGAACAAGCTCTCTCAACAAAACATCAAACAATACTAGGGACCTGATATTCTGAATTATTTAATTTTAGGCACCTCATACATCTTTATCATGATGTGGATCCCATAATTTAGGGACCAACGGCTATTGCAGCATGAATAATAGAGCACTGGGAAGATAAAGAAAAAAATCTGGAGCTATGAGAATATATATATATTTGAGTTGGAGTCTCACTCTGTCGCCCAGATTGGAATGCAGTGGCACACTCATGGCCACCCCAGTGTTGACCCGCTAGGCTTGACCTGCTGGGCTCTAGCAATCCTTCTGCCTCAGCCTTCCAAGTAGCTGGAACTACAGGCGCACGCTACCACACCCGGCTTCTTTTTGATTGATTGTAGAGATGAGGTCTCGCCAAGTTGCCCGGGCTGGTCTCAAACTCGTGGGCTCAGGCACTCCACTCGCCTCAGCCTCCCAAAGTGCTGGCATTACAGGTTGAGCCACTGAGTCCAACTGAGAAAAATATTTCTAAAGACATGTTCTTAGTCTAAGTCATCTTCTGCATCACATTCAAATCTAAAACAGCCATAATCCTAGCATTGACCTTCGAGTTCCTATTAAGAGCCCAACCGGCAAGTTACTTACAAGGTGATGTTAAGTAGGTAATATGGAAGCCTTGGTCACTAATCTGGGAGTCCGAATGAAAATGAACTGTGGCAAAAGGACCCGTGGTCTGGAGTGGTGGTACAGAGAACGTGGTGCAGAATTTTGCAAGAGCAGGATCCTGAAGCAAGGGACCGTCCCGAATCTAAAACAAAAAATTATTATTATTATTATTAAAGCAGGATTTATTGAGAGGACAGAAAAGCTCCCACAGTGGGAGGGGACCGGAGGGGGTTGCCCCCCAAAATAAACTTTTAAGCCCAAAGTGTGGCCACACTTTGTGACCACAGCATTTAACAAACCAGGTAATTTTGTCTAATAACCAGAAAATCTGTTACTTAAAAGCAATAGTGCTAGGAAGCTTCTCTATCACATGCATATCTAACACGTAGCTGGAGTTCAGGAAAGGGTCCCTCCCAACTGCCCTAAGCCTCACCCTTTGTCTAAATTTCAATTCTGATGCTGGATGTCTCCTTTGAATTTTTCTCATGATATTATTAATCTGTTTTCTTTCTTAGGGTCCCCCCCCCATATTTGTTTTAAAATGATAAATACCAAGCCATATAGAAGAAAGTGAATATAAGCAAAGAAAATAGAAGAAGAAATATCAGTGATCATGAGTTCTCAGTTTGGCCCAGGTATTCAAGAGGATCAGAGGTGGAAAATGAAATGCAGTTGAATTAGATGCGATATAAAGGCAGCTTAATGAATTTAAAAAGTGCAACTTTGCTAGTAATTAAGCACCACAACAATGATAATGTGACCTTAGAAATCCTTTTCAAATTGTTGGTTTCTAATCTATTAAATAATCATAATGATCTTTATAATTCCGTTGTAATTGCAAATTTTGTACTTTATAGACCACTATGGTGCCGATGAGCTAAAGAATATTTTAATATGGTCAGTTGTGTCCATTCTATGGGCAGCCAAGTTAAAGCAGCACTTTAATCTGATATTTAATTGATTCCTTAAAATATTGTAGTTTGATGAGAAATGAAAGACATTTCAGTATTATCAGAGTGACTGATATTTCCCACTATATGAGCTCCAGAAATTCATATGCAGGAACTAAAAAAAGCCTCTAATTTTAATTTGATGGAATTTATTGAAAATTAATTTCTAGATAACTTACTTTACTGTCAACATTTAAATGATTATTTTGCAGAAATTTTCCAGGGAGAGGCAGATCTTCCAGTCATTCCCAAAGGGTTCAAATCCATTATTACAATTGCTAAATCGCTAATGATTTTTACTTATAGAACCCTGTCTGACAGTCACATCCTTCTTCATGAATAATTCCACAGCACTCAACTCATCTCTAATGGACTTGCAAAAGCATGTTGTTTCTCTAGCACTTCTGCAAGGGGTAGTGAGATTTGTGGGGATAAAAACTACAGGGCAACTAACAATTTAATCTTCTCAATTATCTTGTCAGGCTACAAATGAAGAGCAACACTTTTGAGGCACCTATATACATATGTCATTTGAATAGAATAGCCTTTATTCCTCCTCCAAATTTTAATCTTTTACCGATGGTAGGCATAAAGGGATCGGGGTCATGTCTCTCCTCTCAATGAAAACTACCAACATATTCCAGGAAAGTTCAACCCAGTTCAACACAATCACTTTTACTTTTCTTCATGAAACACTGTAGTCAAGTTGTGAGACACCTCACCAGTTTATCACAGACAACTGAAGATAGGACTCCACATTGGAGGAGATGGTCATTACTTAGTGTTTATTTCATTGATTCTTCTGGCAGAGGCCTGGGCTTTCAGGTCATGCCAGGGCAAGGCAAGACAGTCTGTTTCCAAGAACCCAATGGAACCCAAAAGAAGAATCAACAAGCTGGTACCATAAGAAGACAACCTTAACAAGACTCAGACATTGATTGCCTGTTAAGAAGTATATATAACTACTGACAATAAGTTGGGGCCAACCACGGACATCATTAAACTATAGTGCTTTGAGTCCTAATCATATCTTGATATAACTATTTACCTCAAGATAATCTTTGCTGCAATCATCATGGTGCTCCATACTCAGTGTCCCAAAAGTAAATGTTATCAGGAGGCCAGGACTGGTTACAATCTTCCAGATACAATCTCTTCCTGGGGGGTAGTTTCCAGGGTAGCCCGGAGACTTAAGAGAGCCATAAGGACCAATCAGTACACCTCCACACTCTGAAATAAGAGAGAAAAATGACTACATTGCATACAAGTTATAATTCACATAGAAAAATCATAGTCCTTGCTGTAAGAAGCCAAACTTTGTTTAAATAGCTATGAGCAGTTTTAGGTGCTTTCACAAATTAGACAAGACTTTCCATTTTCCAGTTTTATAAAGTTATACATCTCGAAGTACCAATTGATAAATAAATGAATCACCCCTATGTCGAGCTCTGTACCTACGTGCTGTCAATCAAGGGCTGAACCATCTGAGGAAGGAATAATGGGATCACAGACTCCATTTGAGGAGATTAACTTCAGTATAGGACCTCTTGAAAAATTCTGGAATATCTGTTAATCCCTATGTCTTTCATCAAACCAGAACACTTTATATATTAAAATGTTAAGCACTACATAATTTTCATTTGAGAAGATTTAACACTATTGCATAGGTAAAGCATTCATTTTATTAATGAGCAAATTCAAGTGCCTGGTGGTTAAGCCACAGAAATGGAGCAAATGAGGGAACGGCAGCGACCCCACTGCCACCCCGTGGTACCACATTCCTTTAAATGACTGGACAGATCTTTTCTTCACTAATATCCACTTTCATTTAACAAAGAATCTGTGGTGGCTTATGGCAAGTGCTACTATAAAATCAAAAAGTTAGAAATACTAAATAATAAAAATCTGGACTGCAGAAAATGTACGTTAAAAAATGAAAGAAGGTGACATTTTGGATATGCAAGATATGAGATTTACACAGCTATGCGGGTTATTCAGGCAAAATATTTGCTGCACACCTGAAAGAAAACAAATTAGCTACATGACTCTCATAATTCCGGTGAGAAAAAAATCCTAGCCCCTCAGAAGAAGATACATTTTCTAAATGTAATACTTAAAAAGTTACTATTTTAATGCATAAAGTACCATACGCAAAGTAAAAGATTAGTGATAAAATGGAAAACATGCAATATTCAACAAAATATATAGAACTTCCAAAAAGAATAGATACGAACAGAGAATGCACTGAAAACGTGTCTTTCATATGAAAGGATGTACAACCTCATTCATCAAAAGGAAAACACAAACAGAAACTTCACTGAGACTTCCATTTCTTACCTCTCAAAGTGATAAAAATCCAGAATTTTGAAAATAAACTATTGGGGAGATCCCAAGGAAAAAGGCACTCTCATACACTGCTAATGAGAATACAAGATGGTGCAATCACTACAGAAGCGAATATACCAATATCTAGCAAAAACGTCTGCATGTATTTATTTATTTTTGGCCAAACGATCCCACCTTTAGAAATATATCCTAGAAATTTATCGGCAAAAATACAATAAGACAAATGCTCGAAGTATTTTATTGCAATAAAATTCTAAATTTCAGACAACTGGAACCAAGCCAAGTCCATCAGTCGTGTCCAGATTGAACAATGAGACATCACATAACGACATAAAATGCTCGTTATGGAGTAAACTTCAGGCTATATGAAGGGAAAAACAAACTACAGACCAGTGTGTACAGTATGCTCGAAGAAAAAGGAAAATACAACTATATGTGATTATATGCTTAATTTTTTAAAGGAAGGATAAATCCAAAACTAATAAAAACTGTAACCTTAAGGGGAGGAAAGAACAGGGTGGAAGGGACTGGGCTAGTCTTCTCTAAATCTACCATGCGTATTGGCTTGGCTTTGGAACTATGGATATATTTTTACCTCGTTATGAAACAAAGTTTAATAATAATGAAAAAAAATTCTCTAAAATCACAAGCAAGACTGGGCACAGCTGCTCACGCCTGTAATCCCAGCACTTTGGGAGGCTGAGGCAGGAGGATCTCTTGAGCCTAGGAGTTCGATATCAATCTAGGCAATATAGTGAGACCTCATTTCTACAAAAAAAAAAAATTTTTTTTTAATTAGTCAGGCATGGTGGCACACACCTGTAGTCCCAGCTACTTGGGAGGCTGAGGCAGAAGGCTCATCTGAGCCCAGGAGGCTACAGTAAGCCATGAGCATGCCACTGTACTCATGCTGGGACAATAGAGTAAGACTCAAACTCAAAAAAAAAAAAAAAAAAGAAAAAGAAAATTACAAGCAAAATAAAATCAATGAAATAACTGCAGAAAACTTAACCATAAAGAGTAGAAATATTCCAAGGGACTTTAAAGCACTGTAATTTGATGATTCTGTCCAACCAAAACATATCTGAGGTACAAAAAGAACAGCAAGGAAATATTAAATGGTTTCTAGTTTTCATTCCACTAGTAATACTGCCAGCATTGTTATTTTGAAAATTTGTACAGGCGGACTAAGTACATAGGAAATATGTTAATATCATTAGGAACCAAGATTTTTACTGCACGAGAGAAGTAAAAATATACAGTTACAGACAAAAAAAATTCTGTAATCTCAACATTCTAGTAAATTGTAAGATCACTATAAATATATGGTGTATCTTTTGTTTAAAATTTTTTTTAAAGTATTTTCTAGTTCTATACACTGAAACATTGGCAGACCTAGTAACAAAAGCCACCTCTCACACTCTGATTCTGGGATCTAAATATATATCATTTCCCATGGAAAAGTCAGAGCTCTTCAGAGAAATAATTGCTTCCAGCCCTGACACTGTAAATGTATAGGCAGAGCTGGGAACATTTTTTTAGACCCCAAAACCAAAAAAAACTTTCAACAGTAATGGGAATTTGGTCAAAGAGGCTCAGAAACTAACTTAAAAATTTTCCCACTAACCAAATATGGAGCAATTGAACATTTATAATTAAAAGTCTAGAGTTGATTAAATCATATCAAATATGATAAAATATATGAATTCACAAATATCAAGAAAACAATAAAACTGAAACTTAACTAATTGATCATTGTGAAGAAAGCTGTGGTACAAAAGCATTAATTTAAATACTAAAAAAATAAAAAGGAAAAAAGGTGAGAATCAAGCATTTATCCTACTTTCCTCTGTGATCTATATGTGAGAATAACCAAATAGTTGATATGAGTAAGTTCTACTTCATTGAATAACTTCAGATAATAAAGAAAAAAATAAGATTAAACTAACATTATTTTGTCAGTGTCAATGAAACTTAATCTAAACAGTGAACCTAACAATTGCTAAAACATTTAGAGGAAGTACAAAAGAAAAGATGCTTAATGGAAGGATCAGACTGAGAAGATCAAAACACTCTGATCAATGCTAATGTCATAATAAAATAAGCAGACATCATGTACCCACTGAAATGATTATTTTTGTAAAAAAAAAAAAAAAAAAAAAAAAAACTACAAATGCCTGAATGTGATCAAATTTTTTGATTTGAGTACCAGTTTATAACATGACAAATGGTGTTTGCACTACAAGCAGCAAAATCCAGAATGTAAGATGGTCTACAGAGCAACCGAATTCTTTAACAGATAAATTTGAACAATGATTAATATTTGGTCATAGTAAGTAAGGAATTCTTGTTTGTTTAGTTTCTATTGTTCTCGGACATCAACTGGCAAACAACAAAAGACTGTGATCTTTGAAAGAAGAGAAGCACATATAATATGTCCCATATTCACCCCAGAATTCTCCCTGTGTGGTTTTTCCAAATTGCAGTGCCAGGAAGAGAAGCCCAAGCAGACAGCAATACTCTTGCCGGAAACAAACACAACTCAGAATCAGGATTAATAAAGTATCTGGGGTTTTTGAGCAGCATACTAGAAAGAAAGCAGCTGCATGAAAAAAAAAAAAAAAAAAGTACAGGAGTTTCTTGGGTTCTTAGCTCAGTTTCAACCTACAGGAGAAGATGGCAAGTCTAGCAGAGAACAGCTTTGGGGGAGGGAGGAGACCAGAAGCTTAAGAGAGGCTAAATAGTGAGTGGATTTCCTGAATCCGCGGGTTCGAGACCCGCCTGGGCAGCGAGACCTCATCTCTACAATAAATCAAAAAATTAGCCGGGCGTGGTAGCGCGCGCCCGTAGTTCCAGCTACTTGGAAGGCTGAGGCGGAAGAATGGGCGGAGCCCAGCAGGTCGAGGCTGCGGTGGCCGGGAGCGGCCACTGCACTCCAGTCTGGGCGACAGAGTGAGACTCCAACTCAAAAAAAAAAAAAAAAAAGAGAGGATAAATAATACTGAAGGGATGTGTTTCTCCACTGAACCATGAAGGAGATCCTTTTGAGAAGCCCCTGGAGGCTGGGCTCCGTGGCTCAGCCTGTCATCCCAGCACTTTGGGAGGCCGAGTGGATTGCCTGAGCCTGAGGGTTCGAGACTAGCCCAGGCAACCTGGAGAGTTCTCGTCTCTACAATAAATCAAAAATTAGCAGGGCTTTCCAGTCACTTGGAAGACTGAGGTGGAAGGATCACTGGAGACAAGCAAGTTGACGCTGGGGTGACCGAGAGTGTGCCACTGTGCCCCAGCCTGGGTGACAGAGTGAGACTCCAACTCAAAAAAAAAACAACAAAACAAAAAATGACAAGTAACAAAAGAGAAAACAGACAAGTGGGATCTTATCAAACTGAAACACTTCTACGCCCCCTCCCCCCAAAAAATCACCAGAGTGATAGTGGAATGGGAGAAAAATGTTTGTAATCTACATATTTGATAAAGAATTAATATGCAAAATATATAAATAACTCAACTCAATAGCAATAAAATAAATTGACCCAATCTAAAAAATGGGCAAAGGATCTGAATAGACATTGCTCAAAATAAGTCATACAAATAGCCAACAAATATATGAAAAATGCTCAACATCATTAATCATCAGGGAAATGCAACTTAAAACCACAATGAGGTGTCATCTCATACAAATGGTTATTATCAAAAAGACAAAGATAATAAGTGTTGGTGAGATGTGAAGAAAAGGAAACACTGGTATACCACCGATGGGATTGTAGATTGGCACAGCCATATGGAAAACACTGTGGAGGTTCCTAAAAGAATTAAAAATAGAATTCCTATTTGATTCAGCACTCCCACTTCTGGTCGTATAGTCAAAAAAATTAAATCTATATCTGGAAGAAACACTTGCACTCCCATGTTCATTGCAGCATTATTCACAATATAGTCACAATAGCCAAGATATGAAATCAACCTAAATGTTCTTCAACAGATGAATGGATAAGGAAAATGTGAGATGTCCATATATATGTGTGTGTATATATATACATACACACATATATATGCATCTGTATATATACACATATATATGCATATGTATGTATATACACACAATGGAATATTATTTAGTCTTCAAAAAAGAAGGAAATTCTGTCATCTTTGACAGCATGAGTGAAAATAGGGGATATTATGTTAAATGAAATAAGCCAGACGTAGAAAGACAAATACTACATGGTCTCACGTATGTGTAGACTCTTGAAAACTGAAACTTCTAGAAACAGAAAGTAGAATGGTTGCCAGGAGCTGAGAGTTGAGGGAATGGAGAAATGTTGGTCAAAGGGCCTAGCATTTAAGTTATTCAGGATAAGTAAGTTCTGGAGACCTAATATACAGCATGGTGACTATAGTCAACAATATTGTAATATATACTTGAAAATTGCTGAGAGTAAATCTTAAACATTCTCACCATACACACACACAAAGGTGGTAACTATGTAAAGTGCTAGATATGTCAATTAGCTTGATTGTGGTAATCATTTCACAAGGCACACATTTATCAAGACATTGCATTGTACACCTTAAAAGATTTACAATTTTTATCTTTTAAGTCTCCATAAAGCTGGAAAAATAAATGCTTAAAATATTGGGGAAAGAAGAAAAAACAATAAAATAAAATATATAAAACAAAAGTCATCAAAACCAAAAAGTAGCCAAATATTGTTTGAGATTTTAATATACCTCTCTAAGTAATAAACATCTTTTAAATCAAGAAAGAAATTTAATATTTGAAAAACACCATTACTCAACTTGACCAAATTAATATATGTAAATGATCATGTCTAACCATTGTAGAATATACATATTTTTCTGTCCATATGGTAAACTTACCAAAATAGAAAACATATTAGTCCATTAAGCAAATCTCCTCAAATTTCAAAAGACTGAAATTATACAGTGCATGATCAGTGACTATATTGGTAATTAAGTAACTTTTTTTTTTTTTTGAGTTGGAGGCTCACTCTGTCGCCCAGACTGGAGTGCAGTGGCTGTTTCTGGTCACCGCAGCCTCGCCTGCTGGGCTCCAGCGATCCTTCTGCCTCAGCCTTCCGAGTAGGAATTACAGGCATGCGCTACCAAGCCTGGCTGATTTTTTGATTTATTGTAGAGATGAGGTCTCGCTGCCCAGGCGGGTCTCGAACCCGCGGGCGCAGGCAATCCACTCACCTCAGCCTCCCAAAGGCGCGGGATTACAGGCTGAGCCACCGAGCCCGGCAACATATTTTTAATAAAACCCATGGTCATAGATAAAGTAAAAATGAGAAAATACTTCAAGCTTAATGATAACGAAAGCACACATATTAAAACCTGTGGGATGCAGATAAAATAGTTCTCAGAGAAAAGTGAATAACTTTAGTACATACATTAGAAAATTAAAAAAATTGAAAGTCATTTTTCAATGTTTCCAAATCAAGAAACCAGGAAAAAATTTAAAAGTAACAATAAATTAAGCTGCCCCCCACACACAAATTAGGAAAGAAAATTATGAAACTAAGAGCAAAACTCAATAAAACAAAAAGCAACAGAAAACTTTAACAAAGCCAATTGTTGGTACTTTGAAAAGATTAATAAAATTAATAAACCCCTAGTAAGACTAATCAGGACAAATTATCAATATCAGGTATGAAAAAAGAGTATATCACTAAAGATCTTTACAGCATTAAAAGATAGTAAAAAAAATTCTGAAAGTACAGATAAAATAGATGAGTTTCTAGAGAAAAAAATTACCAAAACTGAAAAAGAAATAGAAAATCTTAATAGGTCTATATTTATCAATTATATTGAATCATAATTTAATTTCTAAATATTGACCTTGTATACTAATAAATTCACTTAATAGTTCTAGTACTTGTTTTGTAGATTCTCTAGGATTTTCTACATCCTCAATAATGTAATCTACAAACAGTTTTATTACTCCCTTTAAAAAATTATTTTGAATCATAATTTAAAATCTTCTCACAAGGAAGACTCCAGGCTCACCTAACTTTATGGTAAATTCTTTCAAACATTCAAGGAAGAAACATTCTCAATCTTACACAAACTCTTCCAGAGAACATAAAAGGAAGGGGACACTTTTCAATTAATTTTAAAAGATCAACATTACCTACAACTTGACAAGAAAGCTACGAAGAAAACTACTAGTCAATATCTCCTAAGCATAGATATAAATATTCCAAAAATGTATCTTAGCAGATCAAATCTAGCAATGTATAAACAGAATAATGTTGCAAATAAGTGGAAAATATTTGAAGAATGCAAAGTTGATTCAACACTTAAAATAAATGTAATTTACCACATTTATAGACTAGAGGACAAAAACAATACGAGAATCTCAATTGATTCAGAAAAAGTATATTTCAACACATTCATTATTTTTTAATCTTGGCAAGCTAGGAGTGAGAGATGTGGTGATTTTTTAATGTTTATATATTCTGACACTTCTATTGAGAAGGGGAGCTATGTCCCCTCCCCTTGAATCTGGGTCACATTGTGACTAGTTCAACCAATTAACTATGGCAGAAATAACAACATGACCTTCAAGGATAAGCCAAAACAGTCCACACAGCACTTGTCTGGTTCTGTTGTAATGCTTGCTCTAAGAGAAGTCAATTGCCATGAAACAAGTTTCAGTACTCTGAGGCCACCTAAGTAAAGGAGACATGTGTAGGGCACTGAGGTCAACAGCTTGGCTGAGCTCTCATCCAAAGCAAGCATCAGTTGTTAGCCAAAGGAGTGAGCAATATTGGATATCCAGTCCTAGGAAGCCTTTAGATGGTGATAGTCTCAGCTGACGTGTTATGCAACTGCTTAACACATTTCAAGTGTTGGATACATTTTTTTTTTTTAGTCAGAGCCTCACTCTGTCACCCAGGTAGGAGTGCAGTGGTGAGATCATGGCTCACCACAGCCTTGACCTCCTGGGCTCATGCAATCCTCTCACCTCAGCCTCCTGAGTAGCTGGGACTACACGCACACACCCTCCCACCACTCCTGGCTAGCTTTTGTTTTTGTTTTTGTTTTATTTTGTTTTGTTTTGTAAAGACAAGCTCTTGCTATATTGCCCAGGTTGGTCTCGATCTTCTGGGTTCAAACCATTCTCTCGCCTCAGCCTCCCAAAGTGCTGGGATTCCTGGCATGAATCCAGGCCCCAGACTAGAAATTACACTCTTAATCTGATACAAGTTATTCATGAAGACTTATAGCTAACACCATATTTATCCACTGGCGAAATACTGAGCATTCCCTATGCAGTTGGGAAAAAACCACGACTGTTCACTCGACCACTTTTATTCAGTTTTGAATTGGAGGTTCTAGCCAAAGCAATAAGGCAAGGAAAACAAAGAGTAGTTACAAAGATCAGAAAGGAAGAGGAAAAATATCCTTCATTCACAGATGAAATAACTGGGTATGTAAAAAAAATCCAAAAGAATCTGCAAAATATTTAGAGCTGATGAATAAACTTAGCAACATAGGTGGAATTAAAATAAAATATTTAATATATATATATTTCTACATACTAGCAACAAATAGAAAATTAAAATTTAGACAATTAGTATTTTACATAGTATAAAATATCTATAAATAAATCTAACAAAAGATATGAAATGCTTAGACATTGCAATATATGAAACATTGCCAGGATAAATTAAAAGAGAGCTAAATAAATAGTTCATGTTCACTTATTGGCAGGCTTAATATTTTTAAGAGGTCATTTCTTTCCAAGTTAATTATAGATTCAATGCGATGCCAACAAAATTCCAGTAGATTCTTGGGAAGGACTGACAAGTTGATTCAAAATATGTATGGAAATGCAAGGGATCTAGCATATTTTTAAAGAACAAAGTTCAAAGAGTTCTACACTCAGATTTCATGCTCCAGTGTTTAAGCCAATGCAGCACCAGGAGAGATAAACAGATCAATAGAAAATAAGAGAAAATTCAGAAATAGAGCCACAGATTTATCAATGAATGAATTAGGGGTTTGGTATACTGCTCTTTTTACTTTTTTATATGTTTTAAAATGTTATAGTAAAACGTTAAAAGAAAATAAAGTACTGAAAACAAAAAAAGAACAAATTATCTTGTGGTCATTAAGGCAAGGAATACTATGTAAAGGAACAGACAATGTCCTCAACGACATCTCTGCAGTAAATTACCAGTAGAGCTTTTAAAAATGTGCTTCAGTAATTTCCTAAGAGACCCATTACGATTCATATTTTTCAAATAGCTCCCATTTCATTCTAATTTTGCTGCCTTTGAACATAAAACAAAATCTCAATTCATTTATTTGATGTCGAGACAATTATCAAAATGTCCTATATCCTTGGATTCCAAAACTTTTCATGTATGCAAAAGTCTAACATTGGTCAACAAAATGCAATAACCTCAAAATTATGCTTGGTTATTCTCCACGTTTACTCTTACCTGGCTGCTGTGTTTCCCATTGCACTGTGAAGCCTCTCTCGTTTCTTAAATGCTCGGAGTAGAGATGAAAGTAGAGCGCATTGTCACTGCTGAGGAGTTCACGAGGGCGGTAAGAGCCACAGAACCTCCCAAGCTGAAAAGCTGCAGAAGAATCTCCATCATAAACCTGAAGAAACTCATGTGGACAATTGTCCACTGCTTCTAATTGGAAAAAAGTGAAGGAAATACGCAGGACCTGAAAACATAAAGGCCATATATATTATTTTCTATTTCCATGTTAATTTTAAAGTGTGTCTCTCACTAACTAGGAAGCATTCATCGTCAAGTCACTTTCAAGAGACAGGCTTGTCATTTCCTAATTACCCATCAATACATATGGCAATTATACGTATTCAGTGATTTGTGCTAAAAAGTGCTAAGAGCAAACTTCAACTTATATCAAAATTCAAGTATCTAAAAATCCTTGATGAAATAGATTCACCTGGATATCATTAAACCGTCAAGTCCACCAAACAAAGGCATTTCAAGTACAAAGCTATAGTGTCTCTAAAGCAATAAAATAGATTGGACGTTTGTATATCTACCTTGAATTAAGTTTAGCTAGCTAATATTTCCACTCACAAGAACCTACATGCTGAGCCCCTGAATAACCTGCAGCACGTGTCACATCCACAGACTTTCATCGCTGTCCCTCAGGGATGCTGGTTAAATAGGGGTCTCCAAGCCTCTCAGCGAGGTTCTAATGCCCCGCCCAAGCTGCCAGGTTCAGGTGTGGGCTGAGGATGCATGGTATAGACATGGAAAGTCTGCAAGCCTTCAGGGACTGGATATCCTTAAGGAATGAGTGACAAGAGCAGAGAATGGAAAGAAGGGAACAGAAAAAGTGCTGAATGCCCAAGTAGGAGAAATAAACACACACAAAACGTCTCTCTGGGCAAAGTTTTAGAATGTATTAGAATACGAACTTCAAATATAGTAATACAACCAATAAAATGTCAAAGATTCTGTATTGGCAACTTCATTTAAGACAATCCAGCCACCAGAAAGAAGCTGTTAAATTCAATTTCCAGGCAGGCTCGGTGGCTCAGCCTGTAATCCCGCGCCTTTGGGAGGCTGAGGTGAGTGGATTGCCTGAGCCCGCGGGTTCGAGACCCGCCTGGGCAGCGAGACCTCATCTCTACAATAAATCAAAAAATCAGCCGGGCATGGTAGCGCGTGCCTGTGATTCCGGCTACTCGGAAGGCGGAGGCGGAAGGATCGCCGGAGCCCAGTGGGTCGAGGCTGCGGTGGCCAGGAGTGGCCACTGCACTGCAGTCTGGGTGACAGAGTGAGACTCCAAAAAACAAACAAACAAACAAACAAAAAATTCAATTTCCATGAGAACCTAAGATGCAACAATCTTCAGCTAATGAAAAGGAATGTCAGAAATATTTGAAATTTCATGCTACAATATTTTCAAGATCAGTTATCCATCATTATATCACTTTCTCTCTTGACACAGTTTAAATGAAAATCAAAAAATGTTAATTAATTGAACTATATGGATTTGTACATGTTTTCTACTATAATATGCATATTATAGTGGGGAGAAGATATAAAAATCACCATAATCAAGAGAAAACAAGATGAATTTTCTTACACATTGATAATAAAAGTATTACAGATTTTTCACATAAAAATAATTTTTCAAGAGAAAAATGTTTTCAATGTTAGGAAATGAAATTCATGAAAACAAAATGAAAGGAAGGAAATTCACATAACATTCCCACTGGGAAATTTATTTGACAGTTTATTTTATTGTAGGGTTACTGAGCCCTCCCACCTTGAGAGAAAAAAAAATGTTTGTACAATGCCCTCTGTAATATTAGTTTGCTGGGAAAAGTTAATAGGATTTCAAAGGGAAAATCTTATCTATTCAGACACAACACTTTATTTTTATGAGTCCAGAAGTTGGTTGAGAAACAAATATCTAGAAATGTCTGAGTAATTAATTTTGGGGGTAAAAGCACTAAAAACCTTGGACTTGGATTTTAATTTGAAGAATGTTCATGCAATGGCTCAGAGTCACAAGCTTTGGGGGCAAATGGCCAGGGTTTGAGTGATTGCACACCACTTGCAAACCTCAATTACCCGGACACATTTCTCAATTGCACTAGGGTTTATTTCCTCATATGTAAAATGAGGCTAATAATTTCTATCTGTCAGGGTTATGAGAGATAGAAATGAAATATTGTACCTGGCACAGAGAAGACAATTGATAAGAAAATCATCTTGGCCAGATGTGGTGGCTCAGCCTCTATTCTCAGCATTTTGGGAGGCCAAGGCAAGAGGATTGCCTGAGTCCGGGGGTTCGAGATTAGTGTGGGCAACTTGGTAAGACCTCGTCTCTACAATAAATCACAAAAACTGGCCAGGCGTGGTGGCGTGCATCTGTAGTTCCAGCTACCTGGAAGGCTGAGGCGGAAGGATCGCCTAAGCCCAACAGGTCAAGGCTGCAGTGGCCATGAGTGTGCCACTGCACTCCAGCCTGGGCAACAAGAGTGAGATTCCAACTTGAAAAAAGAAAAACAAAAAGAGAAACAAAAAAGGAAATCTTAATAGTAGTCATGGTTTTAGTATAATAATATACATAAGACTGAGTGATCATCTTCAGAAATACTGTCCCAGTAACACCATGGTTTTGCTAGCAGGAGTTCAAATTACTTACAATGGGTCAACCAGTGGAGAAAATCATTTGGGGTGGGCAAGGTGGTTCACACCTATAATCCCAGCATTTTGGAAGGCTGAAACAGGAGGAACAGTTGAGCCCAGGAGTTTGAGACCAGCCTACGCAACATACAAGACCTCGTCACTACAAAAATAAAAATAAAAAAATGTAGCTGGGCGTGGTGGTGCACACCTGCAGTCCCAGCTCCTCGAGAGGTTGAGGCAGGATTTTTGCCTGGCCTCAGGAGGTGGAGGCTGCAGTGAGCTGTGAATGTGCCACTGCACTCCAGCCTGGGTGACAGAGTGAGACTCTGACTCAAAAAAAAAAAAAAAAATCATTCATACTGGACAAAGCATGGACTTTGGAACCAGACAAACTTGGCTTTGAAATTCAACTATCCCAATTACAAACAAAGAAGTGTTAAAGATCTTTTACTGACTTTTCTTACTTTTCATTATTTCATCTACCAAATGAGCATACGATTACTCAATTCAGAGTTGATATAAGCTTAGAGGAAGGCAGACAAATGTTGAGCCCAAAGCCTGGCACTTGACAAGCCCTTAATATAAGACAGGTGAATTACCATTAAATACACTTGGTGTAATATATATACATGTTACATAGTCATATATGCAAATGAAATGTGCATTTAAGCCGGAGATGCCACATTTACCTTTCCTACTTCCGTTCGGATGACCCAGAAGCAGTTCACGTCATGAACAAAACCAACATCGGGGGTCCTGTAGCTGAAGCTTCCACTGACCCCTGAGAGGGACTCCCCACAAACTGCAAAGGAAAAGAAGAACTGTGCTTTCCTGAGACTCAGGGAAGAGGCTGGGCAACTCGAACCCTGCTGCTGGGATATTGAGAAAAGTCTGAACAATGAATGCTGGAGACAAAAGCCCTGCCATTCCTTCTGAGCCCCCTTTTCTGTCGACACCACCCAAATCCCACCTCTTGTGCAAAGTCCAGTTGAGGCCACATCACCTCCTTCCTGAACTTCCCTTGACCCTGGCTCCTATTCTCTGTCCTTCTACGACACTTGACTTTACCCCACACAATTTAGCTCAGATCTCTAGTTCTTGTATCTGTTCTGCCATTCTGCGTTCATCCAAGTCTCCCTGACTGGAAAGTAAAAAGATAATAAGTGGAGACAATATTTTACACTTCCCTATTTCTCCGCAGGGTCTGTCATAATCCTCAACACATAGTAAGATCTCAATAAATGTGTTGATTCAGAATCAGGAGTATTAATTGGAAGGTGGAATAGTCAGAAGAGACTTTATTGGGGATATTGAATGTGAAGTGCTCCTGAGAGATGAATACACCTGGATGGGAAACACAAAAAAAAGAATTTGGAAGCTGGGCATGGTGGCTCACACCTGTAAACACAGCACTTTGGGAGGTTGGGGCAGGGTAATTGCTTGAGCCCAGGAGTTCAAGAGGTCTTTACACAAGATTTAAAAAATAACCTCATGTGGTCGTGCACACCTGGAGTCTCAGCTACTCAGGAGGCTGAGGTGGGAGGATCACTTGAGCCTAGGAGTTTGAGGCTGTGGTGAGCAGTGATCATGCCACTGCACTCCAAGCTGGGTAGAAAGAGTGAGACCCCGACTCAAAAAAAAAAAAAAATAAAAGAATTTGGGGAAGTTTGTGAAGAAAAATATCTGAAATAAAAGAACAGTGGAAATACTCATGGTGGCATAAGGCCAGGTGACAAAACTATCTAGCTTGTGTAAGGGTAATTTTAGGGAACTAGAGAAAAATAAACATAAGACTAAATGGATAGAATGAAGCCTGGCTATAAAGGATAATTAAAATACAATCCCAATCTCTATTTAACTGGCAATGAGGAGCCACTGTATATTTTAGAGCAGGTGAGTGACATGATTAAGTGTGGTCTTCCAGGGAAATTGAATAACTGCTATATGGAAAGAGGAAATGTCAAGGGGTAATACTTTAGCATATTTTAAATTTAGAAAGGACACATGAAAATGACAACTAGTTATTTAATTCTTTTTAAAGGAAAGCTATCCTAGCTTAAATTGAAATGTATACATTTTTCTCTTGTGATTCCTATACCATTACTGCAAGGAAATACTTAGTTCTCAACATCTGAGCAATTGGACAAGAAAGTAGATTCAGGTAGAACAATCTGCCGCAGGACACATTAAAGGATGATGTTTCTAAGCAGTGAGTGTCCGTGGTATGAGAAATGCTGACCGTACCTTGCTGGGCAATCTGACATAGCGGGCCAGTCCAGAAACGTGTGCATTCACAGCTGAAAGAATTAATGCCATCAACACAAGTTCCCCCATTTGAACAGGGGTTGCTCAAACACTCATTGATGTTTTCTGTGCAGTTGATACCTGTCCAACCTGATTCACACTTACAAAAATAACCAGAGACTGTGTCCTAAGGGGGAAAAACAAATGGATAGAAAATCAGCTTGAATCCACCCAAATAAGAAAGGAAAGTGGTTCTAATGAACGTTTTCTAGGCAATGGAACATAGTAAGTGTTTTCTAGTAGCCTAACCTATAATTAATAAGTCTAAATGGTAATTGCTAAGTATAAGAAGTCAGACTTATTTGGATTAAACTGTAGGCTTGGGTCACTACTTTGTGAATCACTGAGACAAAAAATTAACTCCCTGGTTCTTCCTGAGATTAAAGTTATTACCTACCTTTTACCTAAGAGTTATTGACAGTCCCTCATCTTAAGCCTGACTTATTCTCTTAAACTTCAGGAATCATATAAGAACATCTGTTGTAGAAGTGAAGCTAAAATTATTCTTAGGTGCTCTCTCTGCACAGGAAGAATAAAGACTCACGAAGCATTGTCCGTTTAAACAGGGTTGACTTAGGCAAACGTCACTGAGCTGCACACATCCATTTGTCCCATAGCCATTTCCAGTGTATCCTGGGAGACACGTGCAAAGAGGTAAGGAACCTGTTTAGAAATAAAATAGAAGTGTAAATACAGCTATCCTTGATTTGGATTCAGTCACTAAGCTCAGTGTCTGCTGCCCACAAAAAAGATCTACCTGGCTAATTTTTTGACTGCATAATTCTATGGGCAGACAAAATAAGGCATAAGGAAAAAAAATATTAGAAGCTTTTATTTCTTTTCTTTCTTTCTTTCTTTCTTTTTTTTTTTTTTTTTTGAGTCAGGGTCTTACTCTGTCATCTAGGCTGGAGTGCAGTGGCATGATTACAGATCACCCCAGCCTTGGGTCGGACCCCTGGGCTCAGGCAATCATTCTGTCTCAGCCTCCAGAGTTTCTGGGACCACAGGAGTGTGCCTCTACATCTGGCTAATTTTTTTACTTTTTGTAGAGATGATGTCTCTCTTGCCAAGGCTGATATCCAATTCCTAAGCTCAAGCATCCTCCTGCCTCAGCCTCCCAAGGTGCTAGGATTATAGGTGTGAGCCACTGCACCTGGCCTATTTTCCATTTTTCATCTTAACTCAAAACACCATCAAACGTTTTCTGTACTTCATGTATGGATTGACACTGTTGCTGTCAGTCCATAAGTCAGATGGTCCTGGGCTGTGTACAAACGTGGGGTGCCCCAAGAGGAAGACAGGAGGTCCTCATCACTAAGGGGTTATATCGGTGAGAAAGAGGATTCTTAGGATGGGGAATCTGTTGCACGCACTGTTTATATATTGACTGTTTAATCTTCCCAAGAGCCCTATACATAGGTATTACTATAATCCCGGTACTGCCGGGGTAGGGTGAGGGACACATAACATCAGAAAAGATACCTGATCTCAAACCAGGCAAAGTGGGAACCAAAGGGAGGCCCAAACTTTACCCGTATGACGTTCACCTATATACCTAATCCTGAACCGTACCCCACATCTTTAAAATAAAACATAAAAAAAAGAAAAAAATGTGCAAGATGTTTCTAAATAAAATTTTAAAAGTAAAGATTTTATATGAATACATTAAATAAATAAAATAATTGCCTAGAATTGTGTTTTTGCAATTAATTGCTTTAAAAAAATATTTACAGGGAAAAATGGTGGAATAAGTCATCTCTAGTATTGTTGCAGCTTGCCTAGAAATGTTTTAAGGTTCCTGGGTTAGGGTTAGGGTTACAGGTTGTAGTAAAGAAAAGAAGCCTAAAAGTGCATAAAGTGCTACTTCATGTCATCTACAATATGTCTGTCTTCTATCTGAAAAAGGAGTTATTTTTATAATAGCATCTGTTGTAAGCACTTTACATATAAGGATTCATTGAATCATCTCAAGAACCCTCAGAGGTAGGTGCTATTATTATCCTTATTTTGTAGATGAGATTAAGTGTCAAGCACAGAGATTAAATGTCTTGACCAAGGACGTGTACCTAAAATACAGTTTAAGCCCAGAGAGAAATATAAGCAGTCTTTTTCTAGAAATCATGCTCCTAACCACTTTGGTAAGCTGGTAATCAATTGATGAGCATTTATTTCTACATATGACAAATTAAAAAATAAAGGTGGACTGGGCTCAGTGACTCAACCTGTAATCCCACCACTTTTTGAGGCCGAGGTATGTGGATTGCCTATGCCTTCGGGTTTAAGACCAGCCCGGGAAACTTGGCGAGACCTCATCTCTACGATAAATTAAAAAATTAGCTGGGCACAGTAGCGAGCGCCTGTAGTCTGGCTGCTTGGAAGTCTGAGGCCAAAGGATCCCTGAAACCCAGCAGGTCAACGCTGGAGTGGCTGTGAGTATGCCTCTGCACTCCAGCCTGGGCGACAGAGTGATTCCCACTCAAAACTAAATAAATAAATAAACAAAATAAAGGTGGTATCTCAAAATAGCAAGAGATGATATATTATTTAAGAAATGGAATGGGGTCCACCCATTTGAACAAAAAATATCACGCTAGAACTCTGTTTGATGCTATAGATTTAAAAAATGATTAAAAGATCAAGGATATTAATGTGAAAAAAACTCATAACAGTATAAAGAAGAAACATGTACTTGACTATTTTTAAAGAGCTCAGTAAAGAAGGACTTCCTGAACCTGACTGTAAAAGGAGAAATAATAAAAGAAAAGATTGCTCTATTTGACTACATAACAATTTTAGAAACTACCACCACAAAATTAAAAGAAAAACAATATGCCAGGAAAAACCCTTATAAAACATAACAGATAATGAGATAATGTCCTCAGTGTATCATGAAATTTTACAAACCAATAAGCAAGTGAGCAAAGGACATGAACAAATAGGGGGGAGAAAAGTCCAGTAAAAATGTAAAAAGTATTAATTATTAGTAATCAAAAAGTATAAATGAAAATAATGAGAAACTAATTTTTATCTATAAATTGACCAAGATGAAAAATAATAGTAGTTTCCATAATTGTCAAAGACGGGGTAAATATATACTTTCATATACTGTTAATGAGTATATACACTGATACATTTGTTGGAGAAAGTTGAGCAATATCTATTTTGCAAATCATTGGAAGTGAATCTTCTATTATGCAGTGTTGCAGACACTGTTGGTTGTCGCTCTAGGTCCATTTTCCTCTTTCCTGGTAGTGAACCTTATTTCATCTGGACTCAGGATGCCTGAAATAGAGGCTATCCTTCCCAACCTTCCTTTGCAGCCAGGTTTAGCCAAGTGGCTCAGTGCAGGCCAATGACATGGAAATGGAAGACTCCTTAAAGAGCAGTGGCATTCCCTTCATCCTTCTTTTCTCTTTCTGGCTTGCTGGTATATACTCAGGATTAATTTGCTTGCTTCATTACCTTGGAAAATATTTTCTAAACTAGAGCAGATCGTTAAAGAGCTTAGTCTACTGCGTTTTTCAAAAAGTCCAAATGTATGGTTTTCGGGTTGAAGGTCAAAATAAGAATTTTGAGGACAGAGGACATTGCTGTTTACGTGTTGTGTTGTTTTAGAGGGTCAGGTTAACCTATCCAAAGCCAAGAAAGAGACAAGTCATTACCTAGAGCCGAGGAACAGGACGCATCTGGGTGGCAGCCTCCATTATTGACCGAGCAGATGTCTATGAGTGTGCACACTCTTCCATCTCCCTGGTACCCTGCTCAGAGCAAGGACAGGGGCATGAGAAGCAGCATCAAGAACGTGGTAGAAAGAGAATGCCAACCTGAGACCCAACTATCCCAATCAGGTATCCTCTATCGTCAAAACAGAAAAAGGAAATATAAAATATCATAAACAAATACGATTTCATAACTAAGAAAAGAACAAGACTAAAAACCTCATTTCATAAACACAGTTCTGGGTTGTTTCTAATTTTTAAAAATGTATGAAACTACTGGTAGACTTAGAAAGTGCTGATAATAAGGAAGTTGACATTTTTAAATGACAGTGACTCTTAGAGGTAAATGTCTTGTAGAAGTTCAAAGTACCATTGTTTCATGCTATTAAAACATACAAGATTTCAGTTTATCCCTTTGAACTCCCTGAACTTCTTGGTCAGTGATTCAGTTTAGATGAGAGGATAGCAGTAATGACTTCTTTCCAGAAGAGAAAGAAAACTAACAAGTATTATATACCTACTGCGATGCCTATGACTTAGTAAACTTTATATGCAAAACATCTCATGAATGCACTATATTCATAAATTACTTGTGGGAACAATGAAGCCGTAGGTCTTTGATCCACACAGAAGATTTTTCAAGTTATACACTACTTCAGTGGCTATTGCATAGTTTATAAAGGCGTAATGTCTTGCACTGATACTCAAAATGTTTTTTATTTCTTGCTTATAATAGAGTTGTACTAATAGTTGTACTAATAGTTGTCCTGAATCCACAAGACAAGCAAAACTTTCTGCACGAACTACTCTGTTTCTCTCCTTAGACATCATCTGTAAGATGGAGCACAAGATTCTGTGTTCAAATGTGTGCATTCCCTGTAACAGTATCAGGAATTGCACGGATGCAGCACCTGGTGGACAGGCCTGACAGTGATGAGATCCGGGCGTATTCACACACTCCACTGGTGGAGCCACAGAACAGCCGCCATTGTTTATTTCACATTCATTGATATCTTCGCAAATGTATCCATTTCCTTGCCAACCTAGAAATACAAGAAGATGTGAAAGTTTGGCTCCATAGACAAGTCAACAAAGGAAAAATGACAATCGTCAGAACACATAAAAATCTGCTTGCTCAATTCAAGAAATTATAGATTAAAATAAGAGTTATGCTTATCCAATTGACAAAAATTGTTTTAAATTCTTAGAAACAAATTCTGACAACAAGTGGGAGCAAATGAACTCCGGTTATAGACTGTTGATTGGGATTAATATAACCTATTTGAAAAGATATCTGTCAGTATTCATTAATAGTTTTTAAATACATACCCTTTGACTAACAATCCTACCTATCGAAACTCACTCTAGTGTGATAAAACTACCAGTATATTAAGATATAGGCAAGAGAGTGTCTATTGTTGCATTGTTTAATAGGGGGAAAAACACTTCAATAGTCAATAAAAGCACAGATGAATACTTCATGACTCATCTATACCACTGAATACTAAAAATGAAAAGTTATTAAAAACGTTTAATAACATGCATACATATGCACACACGTCGTGAGAGTTTTCCCATATATATTTTAATTCTAAATTCTAAATGTTAGTATAGTGTGCAGAGTTGGGATCACATTCCCAATTTGGGGAGTGACTTTTTTAAAACCCCATGTATCTTTCCATATATTTATATGTGAAGGAAAAGGTAGAGGGGGAGAGAGAACAAATGGCTAACAGGGTCTCATCGGGAAGATGAGATTGAAGGAGAAGAAAGAAAATAGCATTTTAGTCGTTTCCATTTTAATCAATTGTTACAACAAGTTTGTATTACTTTTGCAATTCAAATTATCAAAATGATAAGAATGCTTTTTAAAATTTTAAGCCTTTAAAATATTTACATTCTTTGATCTAAGTGGAGTCCCTTTCTAAGAATCTACTTAAGAAAATCAAAGTTATCACATTTCTGAATGATAAAATGAGAACCCAGAGAAAAGTTGGGAGGAAATAATGATGTTAATGGCGATCCTCTGAGTGATAAGATTACGGGTACTTTCTTCTGCTTTTTTTCCTCATATTTTTATAGTTTTGTTATATTTTATAAGAAGCATATACTACTTTGGTATTTGGGGTAAAAAAAAGTGATTAAAGGGAAAACAAAAAGTTTTTGGTTTTCTTGTTTCTTAAAATAGATTGTAAGAGCACATTACCCATCCTAACTTAAATAACTTTATTTTTCTGATTTCTAGCTTTTAAAGATTGTCACTGATAAATTACCTTCAAGAATGTAATTAATTGCAAATTTCACTTGCCTCTAAGAACTAAGAGGGAAAAATACATTTTTTTTCCCATTTTCTTTCTAGTTTTACAAGACCTAAACCTATAACATGCAAGAAATCTCTAAACTGGAAGTCTCTAAATGAAGCAATAGGTGTGCAGGGTTTCTTGGCGAGACAAAGTAAGAGTATCCAGCAGCTCTGCTCAGATCCAGAGTCAGGTGACCTGGGTTTGAATCTTTGCTGCCTGTAAGCTATGTGATCTGGGGCAAGTTAGTCAACCTCTGTAAGCCTCAACATCTCATATTTTAAAGTGTAAATAATACTTATTCCTACCACCTCTTGCTTTTGTTGTAATTGTAAGAATTAAAAGAAAGATTGCTTACACAGTGGCTTAACAGCATTTTTTTTTTTTTTGAAAGCGGGATTTAATGAGAAGACAGAAAAGCTCCCAAAGTGGGAGGGGGGCTGAGGGGGTTGCCTGGCATTTTTTTTTAAAGCTGCTATGATTTTATTCTCTGTGTTCCACTTTCTAAGAACACCCAGGAAGTGCAGGGAGATCTTATAAACTCCCAGAGGTCTGGCTAATTGCTTACCAGTGCACCCCACACAGGGCTCAGTTCAGAGTAGGCGCCCCTACAAGTGAATATGTAGTGACTGGATGATGGCTTATCATAGAGTAAGATGCATTTAGAGCCGGGCTCGGTGGCTCAGCCTGTAATTCTGCGCCTTGGGAGGCTGAGGTGAGTGGATTGCCTGAGCCCGCGGGTTCGAGACCCGCCTGGGTAACTTGGCGAGACCTCATCTCTACAGTAAAATCAATAAATTAGCCGGGCATGGTAGCGCGCGCCTGTAGTTCCAGCTACTTGGAAGGCTGAGGCGGAAGGATCGCCGGAGCCCAGCAGGTCGAGGCTGCGGTGGCCGGGAGCGGCCACTGCACTCCAGTCTGGGTGACAGAGTGAGACTCCAACTCAAAAAAAAAAAAAAAGATGCATTTAGATTCAAACCCAGGCCGTCTTTGACTAGAGTCCACTTTTTCAGCAACTCAATACATGTCCTCCCCTGGAGATTAGGTCTCTGTGGGGGCTGTGATGGAACTGGCTACCCCTGTTTACACCAGGCCACTAGGTACTCTAATGACATACCCAGGTGAGGACTACTGGACTATGGTGAAGGCACAAAAAGGTCAAATAATGTACTCAAGTTCACAGACATCTAGTTAGTATGGAAAGGGGGAGTAGTGAACGCATCTTTTGTTCTCAGATCTAGTGGGTTGACAGTCACAGCAATATAACATTTAACTTAAAAACTCTTTGGCCAGCCCTGCCCCAAAGTTTGACTCTAGCACAGTTGGTGGGAAAAAACTCCCACTTCCGTCGTGGAATTGTTATAGCAGTGAGATGGTATTGAGCTGAACTTCGTGAAATACGACAGAGAACTGGATTTGAACTCCTCCTCGGAAAGATCTTCTTATCGATCAGTCCTGGAAGAAATCAGCTCCTGGCACCTTGCCAGCCCAGCATGGAGAGCCTGGCACGTGGCCCTGAGAATGTACCTGTTGGACAGGCCCCGCAGTAGAAAGAGCCTGGAGTGTTGTAACACTGCACAAGGGAGGAGCAAGGCGCGGGTTGGAGGCTGCACTCATCGATGTCTTGCGTGCAGGCAGGGCTGTTTCCTGTGGACATCCACCCGGCGTCACAGATGCAGCTGTACTTGGGCTGGCAGAACGACAACAGCGTGATTGAACACAATCGTGAAAATGAGCAAGAAACCCTTTCGAAAATTCTACTGAGCCCCAAACTGTTTTTCCTCTAACATTCATTTCCATGAGGCCAATTGAGTGGCTTCTCTTTTTCTTCCAGTATGATTAAGCATTTAGACCAGACCATGCAAAAAAACAGAAACATCTTTATTTTGGAGGAAGAGGAACCTATAATTTACCCCAAAGATGCCAGAGAAAGAGCAACAACAATCAAGAACTGTAAGTCAATATAATTAAAGTCAATCAACTCAGCCTGCTATGTTTTTAGAGGGAAAAACACCCATGTAGGCACAGACCTTGGAAAATCAATTCTGTTTGTTTCTTTTTTGAAAGTCTTTCCTTCCCCTCCCACCAACCTCCCCAACCATTTTCCATCACCATGGGTAGAAACAAAATAGAACTAAAAGTAAAGAACTGAAGAGGGGCCAGGACTGGGTGAACCTGAGGGTCAAGAGTCAAGGTCATCAGAACTCAGAGCATGCAGGGGCACTCAGGGAAGTGGTTTCTCCAAGTCTGCAGCACTCACAGGGGTCCAGAACTTAAAAAAAAACAAAAAAACAGATTCCTTAAAGCCCTGTATTGCTGAAAAGACTGGGATTTTTGCGTTGTCTCTGTCAGAACTCACAAGGCCAAGAGAAGGTCACATCCCACAGACAGACTCGTAACGGAATAATTTTAAAAGTTAGTATTTTACATATTGACATCTTTTTTTTTTTTTTTTTAAAGTTGGAGTCTCACTCTGTTGCCCAGACTGGAGTGCAGTGG